GATGGTTTGCTCTGGGATCTCCTCTGGGAAATTGGAGTTCAAAGGAGCCAAAGACTGTTTTGTGGTTTATTAGAAATGGATCAGAAGGGCTAGGCTCTCTCCCTTCTGGGTAGATGTCCAGGTCCTACTGCTTGTAGTCTAATACTAGCGTTCCCTGGAATTCCGTAGGGTAGGTCGCATAGAGAGACCGGGAGCTGCCACAGATGTGGAGTCGGAGAGGAACTGAGGCTGCTGTTCCATCCTCTCCCAGCTCAGAAGGATGCTGGGTTCTTCAAGCCACTTTGGTATCTGGTATCAATTTGAGAGCTGGTGCTATGTGACAAGTTGACTCCTTTGGACTACCCAAGCACTCATTGTCTAGATCTCATGCAGCCTGAGGAGGAAGTGATACATTGCCTGATAGCCAGAGGTAACTGGAGCCTCTAGTGTAGCCAAGCAATTGCTCAGTGAACCTCAATCTCTGTGTTAGACACCTGACATCCCTGTTTCTACCTGTGTGTTCTTTTAATAAATTCTTTCATCCCCAAATAGGGCTGCTGCTGAGCAAATGCCTCTAAGAGAGAACTAGGACTTTGTTCTGGCATGACACCAGGCTGGAGGGAAGTAGTAAGAGTGCCCACATAGGGTGATGTTTCTGAAGAAGTACTCTTCTACTGATGGATGTTACCAGGCTCTTTTTCTGAGTCCTGATAACTTCATAGCCAGTTCCTTGATATTTGTGGCAGGAAGCAGCCTTTCCCCATATGCTGGCACTAGTTCAATTTGGATGGTTGCATTTTTCTAGTCTAGGATATGAAAAACTTGCAGGGGTGATCTATCCTAAGCTTTAGGGCAATGTTGCTGCATGCATTTGAAAAACTACTGCACTTCACCCCAGAAGTGGCTGCCTTTGTGTCAGGTGACTTAAGGATCCTTTGGGATGAAAGAGACCATCTATAAGGCAGACCTGCTCTTGCTGTGGAGTCATTCCAGTCACTGGACATCTTTTGAGGGAAAAATAAAGCTGGTGAATTTGGAGTGGAGCTGTTTCTTTTTTCTTTTCTTTTTTTTTTCTTCTTTCAAGTTAAATAAAAATAAGAGCTGACTTGAGCCTAGAGACTACATGATGCACTGTTAACTGAGAACTGTAAACAGAGGGCCAGATCCTTTCTGTTGTAAGTCAGAACGCAATTTCGGGGGTCAGTGGAGTTTCAAGTTCACCATCTCCAAGAATGGAGCCTGCAGTTGTTTAAAGTGTTAGGCGTAGCATAGTGCAGGGCATTGGGGCCGTCAGATGTGTGGTCAGTGTTTGGAGGAAAGCCTGGAGGCAGCTGTGAATGGTGTAGGTGAATCAGCTGCTACCTGCTGCCTCAGAGTCAGAATTGTGCTGACGTCTCAACAGGAGCTGGCAGAAACCTTACCTTGCAGCCAAAGGCCCTGGCACAGACAGCCAGATTGGGTTACTGGCACCTTGGGTAACTGCCCATGCATGTTGGGCTGCACAAGCCTTCCCTGTAGTTCAAGGGGAGATGTTATCCTCATCATTCTTCCAGTGCTTCAGAGCTGCTGCCCTTCCTTTCTAAATGGTGAATTTCTAAATTCCCATGTATAGATTAAACTCCTCCAAACAAAAGCTTTTAGGCAGCACTGAAGAAAGGCTGTGCTTCCAAAAGCCTGTTTATTCCAGCTGTGCTAATCTGTCTCAGAGGATATTGCATCTGCCCAGAAATTGCATAGTGTTTGTCATCAATGTCATGGCAGCTGCAGCACACCACTAGAGCCTTCCTATATGCAGAATTATGCAGTGTAGTACTGAGGGCTCATGCTAAGCAATAAATCTGTCTGGATCCCACATTGAAGAGTTACTTCATGAAGCACTGAAATGTGGCCACTCCTGACAGCTAGCACCCAGTAACATCACAATCAAAGAAAACTCTTTTTTTTTTTATTATTGATTGTTCCTGAGCTGTTTTGTAATTTTGGATGGTATGACGATCACAGTGAATTCCAGTCAAGATGATGACAGCTGGAGAACTGAGTTTAGCAGTGATAGGAGCTGGCACTAAGCTAAGATCTGCAGCTGGATTCTGAATGCATTTAAACAGGAGCTAAGTTGGAGTAACTCTCCTGGCTTCAGAATGCAGGATGCATCAAGTAGGAAAGAATCAGTGTGCACGTGTACTAGTCTTACTGGAAACAGGATCTGGCCACTACAGTAACATTTAAAAATAAAACAAAACTGTGTAAGATCTAATTATTTTCCAGGCTGTTTTTTTCCTGCTTGCCCTTACTCCAGAGGGGTTCCTAGGGTGATAAAGGCTGAAATCTCTCCAGGTTGCAAGACTGAATGGTATTTACATAGGTAAATTGACAAAAAAGGAAATTACTCCAAGATGAGCAACGAACGGTTCCATGAAAAGAGTTTCCTGGGAGGTGAGTAATGGAAGGAGATCCTCCCCCTGCCCTCACCAGTCCTAGTCAGGGGCATGTGAACCTGTGACCGTGAGTCCAGGGAACCAGACCAGTAGCATCTCTAGCCCACTCATTTTGCACTCATGTTCCATAAACAGATCACTGCACAATTGAGCAAGGGAATAGAACAGGGACAGATAGTCATGTCTAGATCAACTGATGAGAGGCAGATGGTTTGCAATGGGGGCAATGCTCACCCTCCCCCATCTCTTCCATGCCCCAAGTCCTGAATACAACCAAAATGAGTCTAGCAAGTAAAACTATATTCACCAGCAGAGAACAGGGATGCAGCTGAACAAGTCCTTTACTCAACAGCAGCTTGGAAAGCCTTTTGCTTTCTTGGCTGCCATCATGGTCAATATACAAGTAACTGGGCTGAGTATGAATCTCTGCATCTGTGGAGGGGAAGAAGGGGCTGCAGCAGATTCAGATCAGTGAATGAGAGAAAGGTATTGATTTCACAGGCTGCACCAGAGGTTACATCAGCATTGGTGACAGTGGGATCAGGAGGGCCAGGCAGCCGGAGAAGCGAAGGCAGTTCATTGAGAGGACCGTTCTCAGTGTGATTTGCTTCACTGCGTATTCTTCCCTGAAAGCTTACTAGCCAAAAGGGGCTGCAGATTGACAGCTCCTCTGCTAGAGCACCTGTACTTCCCGTTGACTTCACCATGAGTGTTGTGAAATAAGCACAGTTCCCTGAAAGGAGCCCAAACCACACTGAGTCAGTGGAAAAGGCTGCTTTTGATTTCAGGAGGCAACAATCAAGTTCAGTGTGCCTATGGTCAGACATAGCTCAGCAGCTCATATCCAGACTCGCTGATTTCAGGGGGGTATCACATTAAGAATCCCTGCCCTCTGCCTCAGGGAAACCAGCTGGAAACAGCATTTTGCAGCCATGTCTATTGCCATCAGGACCCAAATACCATCTTAGAGAGGATCTCACAAGTCACAGAATGTAGGTGTGAGAGCAGATGCATTTAATTCTTCTGAGTTCCTGGGTTAATGCTTTTTCCAGCCTGCATGAATCAGTCAGTGGGTGAGGCTGAGTCACATATAGAGTTACTATACATGGGATGAGGTATTATACAGCCTGATATGCAAAGCTCTTTTGAGCGCAGCTGGGTACCAGACTCCCCTCATACACCTGCAATGGGGCTGGGAGGAGAAGCGCAAACAAGTGCCCATTCAGCCCTAAAGTTTGACTAACTGTCTGACTCCACGGTTTCTTAACTGGATCTTATTTCCAGGGCTTGTCCCGACTTTCCATTTGCTTGATGAGTTTGGATGCAAATTTTTTTCCAACCTGCACAGCCTCTTGGCTCACAACTCCTGTTCATTTCATACAGTTCCCAGGAGAGACAAAATCAAATCGGGGAAATATTGCTCACCCGGTGGAAGAAATCCCACAGGCATCTAAACTTTCCTCCTATGCTATTTTTTTCCTCTTGTTGGTCAATCCTCTTATTAAATGAGATGACAATCAACTGGTCTCTTCATGATTGGCTGTAATTTTCCAGCTTCTCTCTACTAATAATGTCTCGGATCTGTCCAGAAGTAGCATATGCAATATGTTTCTTCCTTTCTTTATTTCCTTGAAAAATACTGTCCATGTGTAGGGTGGTAAAAACTTAAGAGAGGAACAGTTGGGACCATGTATTGCAATACCCCCCAGGGGCTGTATTTTACATCAAGATGCCATGGTTAAACCCCGAAAACTTGCTGCTCTCAAAAAGCACAGGCCCAGAGAAAGAGGTTGGACCAAGAAGTGAAAGAAAGAAGAGAAAGGGATTTTTGTCACCCCCACCTGATGAGTAGGAACCAAGAGCAGAGATACAGATAGCAGGACAGGACATGAGAAAGGAAACTAGATTTGGTCAGTTCTTAGTTCATGAGCAAAACAGTCCCTGCTGCCTGCATGGGGAGAGGCTGCGTATTCATGAAGGTTAAACCTGAGGTCTTTGGCGTATGCACTGTACACCTCCATCCAGTGAGATATTTGTCACAGGCTTATCTTTAGGCATGTGACTCTTTGACTCAGATGACCTAGTCACAGACTTAAGAATGTATTTAACTCTGCAGCTGAAGTGAGGTAATCGGTGAGTATGTAGCAGGCTGTTGTATGGACCAGCTACACCAGAGATAGTTTAATGCTCTTTTCTACACGGCTGACACTTCCTCCTTAGCAGTGGTTGCTTTCCCGTAGGCTCTGTGCTTCTCGGTGACTTCTGCACCAGCTCTTCTCCAGGGTAAAGCGGGCAGGCATTGCGTTTGTCTGTGTGTCTTGTTTGGCTCCAGGCCCTGGGGCAGCAGAGGGGCAGGGATCGGGTGGTGGTGGAGCGCTAGGACCTGGGGGAATGCTCTGCCCTCCTCCTCCCGAAGGATTAGCCGGGACTCCCAGGGCAGGGCATGATCTCTAGCCTCTCCACTTTTTCTTTCCTATATGTACATGTTTTTTCTCTCTCCTTCTAGTTCATTCTAGAGCTGAGAAGGAGAAGCTTTGGGTTTCTCTGAGCTTTTTTTTTTTTTTTTCTCTCCTTGCAGTTGGACTGTTGCCCGTGTCTTGCAGGGCCAAAGTTTTCTCTGTAGGGATATATCTTTTTAAAGCAGCCCAGCTGCATGCAAACAGCCTGCAGTTGAATCCACGCTTCTGGGACAAGTTTAACTCAGAGAGGAACAGCAGCAGGAGTACTGCTTTTGCCTCTCCTCCGGCTACTCCTGTCAAGATGGATTTATGACTTGAAAAGTGGGGCGGGAGTTGGGGGAGGAAAATTGCCTTCAGGAGCCAGAGACTCCACCACAGCCTAGCAAAACACACAAAAAGAGGCAGTCGGATCTCAAGGCGTGAGCAGCAGAGAAGTGGCACTCTGGGATCTGGTGGATCCTTGCACGTAATATGACTGATCTTAAGCCTTTCATCTGCCTTCACAGCGCCAAGCTTTTGGATTTAAGGTAGTTTGCCCAGAACCAGATTTTGATATGTTGGCCAAGACTCTGCTTTCTGTTGGTCTCTGGCTGCAGTTTGCTGCGGGACAAAACACACCTAAGAGAGGTGAGTGCTTGAAATGGCAAGGTGTTCCCTTCTTACATTAACCCATTTTATACCTCCCAGTTCTTAGAGCTTCTTAAAAGTTTTTTCAGAATAAAAGCTGACTTTTAGTTATGTTGTTGCTTTAGGTATATGGTTATATCTCTGTGTTACTTTGCAGGCACAAGGACAAAACAAACAAAAAGCCTTCCTGAGATTGTCATATTAGAAAGAAAATTTGTCTGAATTGTTTCCAGCAGTGGAAATGAAAGTGTTCGGGAAGCTTTCAGTCATATGGGTGCAATCATATGGAAAGACTTCTGACTCCTCATTGCTACCTATGTAGTGGGGCACCTCAATTAAGAGAAATGGAAACAGTGATTAATATTATGCCTATCCTCTTGTTCTTTTGTTAATCTCTGTAATTTAATCATTATATTTCCTCTTTAACATTATTTCTCGTGGCTGGTGCTCTGTGAAAATAGTAAGGGGAAAAGAAAATGGGTCAGTGTCACAGAACTGACAGTAGGGAAAGGGACAAGGAGGAGGTGAATGTCTCATTTCTGGTTCCTGCACTGTAGCTGGGGGTAGAAGACTGCTCAGCTCACACTGTGATGGCCAAGCTGATGGGGTTGGTTTTACCCTCCCTTGTGTTCACAGCTAGAAAAAAGTTCTTTTCTTTGGCTGCAGGATTACTGCTGGCTGCTTCTGGGTTTCACTGGAGTTTGTACTTGGGAAATGTAATACAGCATGAAAGGTGATCTGAACTTTTTGTCTATCTGGACAGGAGATCCCCAGCAGCCCTGACTGCTGGGGGCTGATTATGCTTCTGGTATGCAGACCAGACCGTGTTTATTGCTCAGACTCCCTTAAAGGATAGTGGTTTCTGTCCCTCAGTAATCCAAGTTATGGAGCAGGATCTGGAGACACAGGCTTGCAGGGTGTTTTTGCTGCCTTGGGCTTTGTGTCGGGATTCTCCAGCGTCCACACAGACAGCAATTATTCTATTCGTTTCTGCTGCTATGGAAGTGAACGTGGCAGCCTGCAGCCCAGGCTAAGAATCATGCTCATTCCTTCAGAGCACATTAAAAAGTAATGCTTTCCAGAAGGATTGCACCTTGCTCTAGAGGCAAGGTTGTATGCATTGAATTATTGACATGCTGACTTTGGCTTGCAAACTGCCAAGCGCCCTTAGAGGAAACGAACCTGCCGGTTCGCAAGGTGCCCATTCCCTGGCAGCTATGATGTGGGGGCCTCCTGGGCTCCTCCCAGATGCTCCCCAATGCAGCCTTGAGCAAACAGCCAGTCTGGCAGGGCTCCTGGGCATGGCCTAGCTCTTGTGCAAAGGTGCTGTGCAGGGTGCTGTGACCAAGCAGCAGAAGGACTGTTTGAGACATGGGGATGCACACACACAACTGTGATTCCCAGGGACTTGACTGAATGTGAATGGGTGTGGCTTTATTCCCAGCCGCAGCAAACAATATGAGGAAGCTACTGCGTGGCAGTGCACTTCCCACATGCTCAGGAATACTCTTGTAGGGCAATGGCTACTGACTTCATGCACCGAGGCAACGGCAGAGCGCTGTATAACCAGCTCTGCCACTTTTATCTTTGGGTTCAGCTTCAGATCTCTGTTATACCAGGATGAAGTTCCAACATCTGTTACTTTGGGCTTTGATAAATGAAGCTGAGGCTGTCCTTACCTGGTTACTCTGGACTCTGGAAGATGATGCCAGCATGCATCTCTGCCCTGTGCAGACATTTGCACATGGCAGAAAAGAGCCCTTGTCCTAGGAACTGCAGGAACAGGCTGCATCCCACAGCTGCAAAGCAGCCCATTACATGCTTAAGATAGAGTTATCCACAGATATTCTCTCCACAACACTCTTTCTGCTGTCATCCAATACTTACATTCCACTTCTACTTTCTGCCTGTCTTGTTGACAAACAAGGACAGAGGCAGGAGCAACTTGAGCTCTCAGGGTATATTGGGTTCAGAGACAGATGAATGTCCAAACCTAATTATGCTGCATGAGGAACATGGTTGTAGGAGCAGGCAGGATAACAGAGTTAGGGGTTTCACTGGCTGATCTAGCCACAAGCTCCTGTGAGGATGAGAGTTGTGAGGTTCAGAGCTCTCACTTGATGTCTGCCTGCTTCACCCCATGTGGGTATAAGAGTATGCCTTGGCTGCAATATGTACAGCACTAACATGCAAGCACAACAAGAAGACTCCTACCTGCTGCCTTTCTCTTGGCTAGTTTTATTTGGGGTGGAACAGTTGTGGGGAAGAGGTGAAGGCCAAGGCAGGGGTGAATGTCAGTCCTCATAGCTGAAAGACGTAGGTGCTGTGCTGGATATTCAGAGCAGGGGATGCTGCTGTCCCTATGGATGCAGGAAGAAAAGGACACAGCCCATCCTCACCCACTTCATGGAAGGCCCTAGTAGCTGCCTGCCTTGAGGGCTAGAAAAGCACTTACTCATCTCTGAAACATGGCTCTGTGCCTAGCATAGTTCCATGATTCAAAGACTTACAGAGCTGTAAGAAAAGCAGCAGAGGTAGTGAAACTCCTGAAAAGATCATGAGAGATGACAACCCCAACGTTTTTCCTGCCAGAAGAATTTGTCTGAAGGGCCATTTCTCAAACTACAGCCTGTAATCTGTGACATGGACAAGCTGGAACCCACTCAGGCAATTTGGGCTTTTAGTCACACAAGTGTATCTTGCTTGGTCAGGTTCAACTCCTTAGAAAGGCAGGTGGCCTAGCCATCTCCCATGGCTCAGACTCTTTTCCTCCCTCTAACATGGCTATAGGTGTAAAACACCTCCTGACTGGCTTGGTTGGATATCTCCCTTCTTGGGAGAGGTGGTGCCTTTCTCCTCTTGCCTCTCACTGTGATCCTAAGGAGCCACAGGGGAATACCAACTGCATTCTTCAGCCTCCAAACTCAGCCCCACTTCTAGTAGAACTAGAGTTTAAAACATAGTTAACTGGGACAGGACATGGTCTCTTTTGGCCATTAAATCTGTTATGTTCCACGTAAATCATGCACGTGGCATGTGTTCAGATCCCAGCTGAGAGTGCAGGGAACTCGTGAGCAGATGTCTCCTGTCAGCATCTCAATGAAGAAAGATAGGGGAAGTCTGACAAGCTGCTTTTCTCCTGAAAAACATCTCTGTGGTGACATTTTGCTCCCATATCAAGCTCTTTCAAACAGTTCTTTGTATGACTGATCTGCATCAGTCAACCAGGTATCAGCTAGAGGGTGGCAACGGGATAGTGCCACCTGTTCACTGTTGTTCCCAGGATTTAAGTAGAGTTAAGGACCAGCAGTGACATGAGATCTGCAGAGTTCCTCCTTGGCTTTTCAGAAGCTAAGGCCTGACAGCTCAGGAAGGTGTACTGGGAAGGCAGAGAGATGCTAATGGATGTCCCTTCTCTCAAAATCCCACAGCAAGTGAGAAGTCTTCATTTGGCATCTTGACAAATATCCAGTTTCTTTTGCTGGAAAGCAAGGAAACTGCCTAAAATAGCAGCTGCTTGTGTAATGCAGGCATTTACTGGTAACAAAAATCCACAGCCCCACCTCTGGCTTTGATGACATGTCTGTATTGGATGGAGGACGAAAAATAGGAGGAAAGATGAAGGAACGGAAAACCCAAACCCAAAGGGAAGGATGATGGAGTGTCCAGTCACTTTATAAACCTTGCTGCATTCCTGTTGTAGAGAGGCCCTTTGTTTAATTTTTTCACAGATCCTTCCCGTTTACAAAGACGAGAGAGGAGGAACTTGTTTCCATCTTATTGAGGGCTGAGTGTCAAGTAGAAGTGACTGTGATGGTGTTTGCCTTCATGAAGGATCAGCCTTCTGTTCCTCCCGCAGACAATCCCTTCAGATAGCTCCGAAATATATATCTGCCCCCAGGTGTAATTGCTGTTATCAAGCAGTGCTATCTACCCTCCAGGCAAGGCATTGTGTGTCAAGCTGCAGCTTTTCCTGCAGAGCTTCCTAATCAACACAGCTGTTTCCAGCAATGTATGATGGCTTGAACCAGTGTTTAAAAGTTGGTAAAATTATTCCCAGCTCTTCTAGTGCCCCAGAGCTGCAGGGTACAGTCAGGAGAGCAGTTTGACAGGAGCTTGGTTTTTGACTCTCTTTTGACTGCTTTCTCTTTTGAGCAGGCATTCCATGGTGTTTTCACCCATGTGTCCCCCTTGTTGGTAATTCCAGCAGGAAAGGGATTTTGCTTATGTCTGCTCCCTCATGTTGTATTCCTTATTCCCCTCACAAAGTGCTAGTGCATGTGATCCAGTGCAAGACCTTGTTTACCACATGTGAGCAATGTCCTTGGGACATCAATCCCTGCCCTGCCAGAGCCCGAAGCCTTCACAACTTGTTACAACATTCAGGAAATGAGTGACACCACTCAAGCTGGTGGGGAATGGAAGGGAGAAAGGGAAACAGATGATTTCATGTTGGGAAGAGGCAATCACATTGCCAGATCCCCCAGTATGGCTTGCCAGCCAAATGGCTTGTGCTTCTTCCAGCTGAAGGGAAAGCACAAAGTTGTGGCTAAATGTTTGACTTGGTTCATGCAGCCAGAAGCTCTAAAGAAATTGCCCATCACTCTGCCCTGCTAGAATGCTGTTGGGAGTTAGGGAGTTCTAAGAGCCAGTGGCAGGTATTTGGAGGTCACCGGCTCAGCTCTGCTGTGTGATGTTGTGATGAAATTGCATGCTGCAGTGGGTAAGAAGGAAAGCTTACTGGACTTTACTTTTATTTTCTGCCCAGCTCTAAATGCCAAGCTGCTAGGTGTGTGCATCTGAAAGACAGGGCTGGGTCACACAGAAATGACTGTAATCAATGTAGATCTCAGGTGCCTGCTCCTGCCTGCTCCTAGCATCCTGTGCTTAGTCACTTCCAAGTAACTTTAATGTTCTTCATTTCTGAAGGCTCCATCTGATTTCTCCTGCTGTTTCATCACGGGTCTAATATGGCTCTGCCCTTTCAGCCAGCACCTAATACAGGAGAGAAATGAGGGCCTTGTTCCTGTGCTGCCTTGGTCTCTGTAGGAGCCCAGTGACATGTGGGCAGCATCAGGCTTTCTCCCAGTGCATACCTACACTCTAACACATACAAGTGTGGTCCTGGCTCATGCACATCTCTGTTGTCCCCTGCCCTAAGGGCATTCCCAGCACACCTGACCCTTTCTCCAATTTATCTGCCCCTGACATGTTCCTGAGCACACAAACATGGAGAACACTCCTGGCATGGAACAGAATGAGACACTCATGCCCCAGTCACATAGGGAAGTCTATGAATGATACCCAGTGAGGGAAATAAATAGCAGGGTGAAGAATGTCCAATAGACTGGGCCAAGAGGATCAAATCCTCAGTGGTTCAAGCCAAACAAATTGTCCACCTTCTGTTTTTCTGCTTTAATCTCGTGTTGTATGTTGATAGGCAGAGTTCTTGTTGGTTCAGGATCTCTTTTGAGCTCAGACCACTAGGTTTCACTGTCAGGAGATGTAATCCATCTCTTTTACTCTCTCATTGTTCCTCTGTCCTTGACCTTTCCCTCCTCCTGGTTTTGCCATCTTGTACCTGTCTCTTGGAGTCCTCCCCTAGCAAGGGCTTAGCCACCCCCTGCTCATTCCTGCCAAGCTCTTTACTGTCTCTGGGCCTGCCTTGGCATATTGGCATATCTTTCTGCAGAGCTGGCATAGGGAGCTGTTAGCATGAGCTTTCTCCTTGGAGCAAGTAATTTCTCAGAAGCCTTTCCACTCAGCTGTCTACTGCCCTGTGGTTTTGGCTCCCCTGCATGACTGCAGCACTAAACCACTGCATGTTGCACCAAGGTGATCTGTGCTTCAGAGTCCACACTGCTCAGCCGTCCCACATTTCCCTTGCTCACAGAGGAGCCCAAATGTGCTGGCAAAGATGTCTGGTCCAAGGCTTCTTCTCCACTCTTGCATCTCAAAAGCTGTCAGAAACCAGGAGAACCGTTAAAAGAATTCCAAAAGCATTACTGATATTCCAGCTACTATAAATCTCTCAAGATCTACGGGTGGTAGAAGAAGGAGCGTTCATGCTTCCCACACAGCATTTTTATTGCAATTGTAAGAAAATGGGTCAAATGATAACTCCAGCCCTCTCCTGCACAGCAGGTTCTTCATGATATGTTGTACTCTCCTGCACAAATGGGTTTGCCCTTTTGAGGTGTAGCTCCTAAGACTGTCTGGGGAAGAAAGTGATAGTGTATTCAGAAGGGCAAGAAAAGATCCATTTAGCCTAGCTTTTAAAGAGTGATCTAGAGAGGAGGGAAGCTTCCCTCCCTCCCTACACTCCAGACTTTTCTGCCAACAGTCATATAAATCAGGAAGCTTTCTGCCAGTCTTATGTGGATCGTAGCCTTTGAACTGAGCAGCAGCCATCCCTCTTGGGAGAGCAGAGGCAGCAGTTTCTTTCAAGTCTCTTTATCATCTCTTTCTTTTCCAAATATAGCTTATTTTTCTTGCAAGCACTGCTATTGTAAGGACATGGGAGAAACCTGTAAGTTGTTTTAGGCTGGTAAGTTGCCCTTGACCTTGGCAGTCACTCTCTGCCTTGAGACCCACAGTTTGCTTCTTTGTCTGGGACTGCTGTGCGTTAGCCAGGTGCAGCAGGTCTTCATGGTGGAGGCTGCTCCCGGGCATGGGGTGTGGGTGCCTGCTGGCTCAGGCTTGTGAGAAATTTTTGCAGCTCTTGGAATATGTCCCATCTCTGGCTTGGAGCAGAATATCCTGGGGAGCAGCCTGGCATTGTGTAACAAGAGGTGTGTGTGCAAGCTGAAGTGGCTCAAAGCTCAGAAGCATTCTTTCTGCAACAGTGAGAGCAGGATCTGGTACTCCCAGGTTATACTTTGGCTTTGCTGTCATTCCTGTGCCTGTGCCTGTGCCTGCCCCCTCCCACTGCCCTGGGCTTGTGGTTTATCTGTAATGGGTTAATAACTTGCTTGGCAAGACTATCATAAGATTTCATAAGTCTGTGCAGTGCTTTAAGATCCTCGGTGAATGCAGTGTGGAAGTGCTGTGGAAGCAGTATGTGTGCTCAGGAGCCAGAGCTCCCTGCTTTGTCAGGTCCAGGGTATCTCTGCTTGTGTTGGATCCCTGCTCCTTTCCAGCCCCTGTCCCTGTGCAGGATGCAAGAGTGAGGAGGTGAGATTCGTGGCCCAGGAAAAGACTTCCCTGTCCTACTGCAATAGTACTTATAGTACTTTGTGCTCCCATCTGCATATGCTATGCATATTGGCTGAATTTGAACCAGAGGAGTATTAGGTTCTCATCTCTTCCCTATTCCATAAGGAACTGCATTTTCTCAGGAGCCAGGCAGCCGGATGAAGTCAGGCATCTCATCCGAGTTCTGCAGAGTCTTTTGGCTTCTCTGTCCTCTCCCATCTCATGACTGGGCTTTTTCCTCTGAGAGACATGGTCTGCCCTTGCTATCCAAGCAGTTTCTTGAACAGTGAAGATCCTGGATGTGAATGGAAAGGAGGAGAAAGAGTAACTCTACTTTCTGTGCTCACTGCCCCCTTCCCCCTTCCCTTGATAAATGTGTACAACAGGACTTTACATGGAACTTGGCAACAAAGCCTGGAGAGCAGGGAACCAGTGCAGGCAGGGAGAGCTCTTCTCCCTGCTCCTGGAGAGCTCACCACATCAGCTAGGCTGAGATGTACCTTCAGACTGGCCTCTTATTGGAAGAGCATTGATCTGGGTGAGGTGCAGAATATGCCCATAAAAGGAGTGACCTCCAAAAGCTCTATTTATCATGAGTCTCTGTTGGCTGTCTCAACAGGCAGGAGGCTGTTTACAGGAGTGGCCTGCCTTGGTTAATCCTGCTGAGTGTGGACTACGGCAGCTGCAACTCTTGTGTGTTTGGATGTTGTGCCATTGTTCACAGCGATGGGCCAACTCAGCGCTGATGCTCAGAGTTGCTGCTGTGTCTCTGAGGTGCTCCAAGTGTTCTCTTGCATGATTCTTGCCTTCTTGGCTGATGTGGAACCCTGTGGGACAGGTGGTGTATTTGAAACGTGCTGCTGAGAGGGTCCCGTGGCAGTACAGGGCAGCACTTGGCTGCTGACCTGTATTGCTTCCAGGAGTGACACTCCTTCCAACTCCACTGCAGTGCTTTGGCCTTTCTCCCTGCAGTGACTCTATGGGGCACGGCCTAGATAAGGCTGTCCCACAGTGAGCCTGAATGCGCAGAAAGCAGTGGGGAACAAATGATCTAACACAGGTGACTTCGCAGTCCTGATGTGCAAAGGGATGGTGGTGGGGAGTCTCATGAAAAATTTCGCTCTTGTTCTTTATGATCCTGTAACCAGTTCAGGTTCTAGGACCTCAGGAGAGTTACGAACCAGTTTGCTGTTCACAATAACTTTTGTTGGTAATGTACTTCAATGCAAAAGGTGCTAAGAGAACTCAGTTCATGAGCAGTCACAGGTAAACCTCTGGTTAACACTTTAGTCTGGGTTTGCTCCTGTGTATGCATCTCAAAGCGTTCAGCAAAGTCTCTGTTGTGATCAGGCAGATGTGTCTAAGCAAAGCTATCCTATGAGTGAAGTCAGGGCACCAGAGATCTCATGGGCTGAGATGCCCCAGGGAGTTGTCAGCAAGGCTGAGAGTAAAGCCTAGGAGCCCTCACAATAGGTGCAAATAAGAATAATAAAAAGGGGCAGATCATGAGGCCTCTACAGAGCAAAATTCTCACTGAATTCTGAGATTTGACCCAAGACATCTAAGCTTTCCTAGCAAGTGCTCATGCAGAGATGGGTTCATACCACTTCACTAACAAACCTCTCTCTTTTCTTGCTAGGTCCCCAGCCCTCCCTTTCTGATTCAGAGGGAGACCTCCTCTTCTTGCTGGACAGCTCTGGTAGTGTCTCCTACTATGAGTTTTCCAGGGTCAAAGAATTCATATGGGACCTCATGCGACCTTTCACCTTTGGCCCCAATGATGTCCAGACCAGCATCATCCACATCAGCACCACACCAACCATGGAGTTCCCTTTTGACCGGTACTTGTCTAGTGGGACTGTGCAACAAGCCATCCGGGATACTCAGCAGCTGATGGGTGACACTAACACAGGCAAAGCACTCTCCTATGCCAAGGAAAAGTTCTTCAGTGAAGAAGCTGGTGCCCGGCCAGATGTGCCCAAGGTACTGGTTTGGGTGACGGATGGTTTCTCCACTGATGACATCTCTGAACCCATGCAGCTCCTGAAGGACATGGGAGTAACGGTCTTCATTGTCAGCACTGGACGGGGGAATTATCTAGAGCTCTCTGCTGCTGCCAGCCAACCTCCTGAGAAGCACCTGCACTTTGTGGATGTTGATGACCTGCCCATCATCACAAAGGAGCTTCGAGATGCTATCCTAGGTACGGTGGGGCTGGGATATAGTCACTGGGAATTTGCAATAGAGCTGGATGCCAGCTAGTGTCTGACCCTGCAGGGCAGGCAGTGCAAGAATCCCCTAAGATTAGTGGTCATCCTGACCCACAGCAGCTGCCCTTCTACACTGAAATGCTGTGTCCACAGCACTACAGGTCTAGGCACAAACGAAGGCTTTGAGGAGGTCTGGGACGAATATCTTCTGTTCCTCTTGGAAGGTCCTCTGACTGACTGGGTCATATTCCCTTCTGCAGCCCTATGGGTGAGCTGAACTTGTATTTGTAATGAGTTGTTTAGTGAGAGAGAGGGAAGGTAGCTCAGGCAGTGCATTATCTGAATTCCTTAAAAACCCACAAGACTTTGAAAGGAATCATGCAGGTCCCTGACTTCCCTGCAATTCGAGCCAGGCATGAAAATGCATGGCACACAAGACTTTAGCTCCTGCCTGCACAAGTTAATTGTTATCCAAAGGCTTCACGAACAGGGAGTGGTTTAGTTGCAAAAAGAAGAAGCTGTTGCCTGTGAAAGCAAGGTGCTCAAGCCCCTTGAACCCAATTTCCACATTCAGGGTCAATTTTTTTTTCTCTGAAATGCTGCCTGGCTGCATAAAGTCCTATGGAGGCAGAGGACACAGATGGGTTGAACACATTGACTAGCTTCCTCTGTCTACCTTCAGGTATAAGCATAGTGGCTGGCACATAGAAATGCCTAAGTCCTGCCTTCAAGTGGCTGGCAGTTGATGTTCTTTTGCCAAAAGCAATTAAGGATGATGGTTGCTATCAGCATTAAGGCTGTAGCAAGAAATGTTTCTGTACCATAAATCGCTCACTGCAACGTGTTCTGCATATGCCAAATCTAAAGCCTGACTCGGCTTGCACAGCCCTTGGCAGAAACTCCCAGCCTCAACTTGTCAGGCTTAGCAGGCTAGCTGCTACCTCTTTGTGGCTAGCGTGGTTGTGGCTGCTGCTGTGCAGTGAGCAAGAAGAACAGACAGCAAATTTGATTATCAGCACTCCTGTATCTTTCAAGCATCCAGGAAAGGGTCTAAGGAGGCCCCAGAAGCATAAACTGGGGTGGGAGACAGGCTTTGGAAACCAAGAGGTGCTAAGGTGCACACTGCACTGTACAATGCATGTCCTCCGTGCAGCTCCTGAGTGCCATCACCCTGGGTGTGCCTGCAGTTGCAAAGCTGGGTTCTTGCCTCAGCCTCCAGATGCCTCTGGATTTGTTTGGAAAGCAGAGTGAGTTGCTATGGCTTTGCAGACTTTCCATTCATTTTCTGGAGGTTCTCGCTCCATTGAAAATCCTATTTCAGTTCCCCACTTGGCTTCTGCTCCTGCGTGAGTTGGTTAGAGCTGGCTTTGGTGTGTTCAAGTAACTCTTTCCACAGAATCCTCTTAATGTAGCAATTTCATTCGATTTCCAATCACTGTCATTTAGAAAATAACACACAGACACTATGTTGTCCTGTGATCATCCACCTCTCTCCCGAGTGAGAGTGTGGCAATAGCAGCAGTCCTTCTACTGTATCAGGTGCCACACAGACCCCTAGATTTTTTGTTTAAAGTGGCTGTTTCAGCTTCTAGTGCTTCCTGAATCCAGATAGCATAAAACAGCATCACAAAATGAGAAATAGCTGTGTATCCTTGCAGCACAAGATTGGGTTAAAAATCATAAGATCTGCAAAGGTAATAAATACCCTTCTGTACTTGAAGGTAAGAGTTCTTCACATCCACCAGGTCTAAAACTTACTAGTCTGGGATTTTAATGGAAGGTGAGATTCTCACATGAATCCAGATGCTGGTGTTTTAAGCAAAATGACAGACACTGATAACATCTCATGAGTTAGCCTTAATAATGCCACATGTTTTCACCCTTCCCTGCCTGGAGGAGGCAGCCCTCATCACCACCCTTTCTGCTTCTGACCCCTGGGATGGTAGGGACAAATGGGATTCTTGGCAGGAAGAATCAGGTCTTTCCAAGTTGGGAATGGCCCAGTCTGGTTTTATTATCACTGCTATCTTATCATAATCTCTTGCTGCAAGACTCTGTTTTTTTAAAAGCCTTTTGTAGATGCACAAACGAGCCTTGTTAAGAAATGAGCTGCTTTCCTCCCTCCACCTCCTATCCAGGAAGGGTGTGTGTTTCATCCCTGCTCCATAGACATGCCTGTACAATGGTCCCTGGCTACAGAGCAGTTATTGTCTCAAGTAGGCTGAGAACCCTCCATAAAAGGGTTTAAACTCTGCAGCTATATATCTCCTTTATTAGATGTAAAGGCCTTTATATAGGGGTTGCTCAGTTAAGTTTGATCAGAGATCTGAGCAGACAAATAATCAAATAAGCTATTACAGCTGAGTCTGGCATTCACACTAGGGGCTTTCAGTCCAAGCCAGCATAAAAGCAACTACCAGGCCAGAGAGACGAAAGGAAAGTGACTCAACCTTCCAAATTTTAACCCTGACCTGCTTTAGGCTCTGCTGAGGCCAAGAGATGGGAAGTCTCTGCCTCAGTTCCCTATGTTGAAAACTTGGTGGGGTAATGGAACAGATAAGTTGGACTGCTTCTCATAGATGCTGGAACTGGAACAGTTCCAGTAATGCTGCTGCACAGAAAGGAGAAATACAGGGACTGTGGATGGATTATGTTCACTCCTTCTCTTTTTCCTTGGCATCTGATGCTGACAAAATGAGTCTGCAGAACACAGGGGGCAACATTCCTAGCCAGCCCAGCCATGGTCACAGCTTGCTCCAGACAAATTCCGCTCCCTTTTTGTGGTGTGAAGGAGATGGGACCCTATACCAGGCTTCATCTATTATGTCTTACATGTTATGTACTCAAGCAGACAATATATAGCGTTTGGTGCTCTCCTTCTGAGGAAGGACCTACAAATGTGAAATCAAGGCATTCCTTTGAGATGATATCAGGTTCTATGCTAGCATTCACTTGTTCTTCACTCAGCCACTCGAACAGGCAACCACTGACTTGGATTGTCCTTTGGCACCATCTCCTGAGCCAAGCTCTGCAGGAAGACACCTACCCAGTAGTAACAAAAGATCAGTCACTTCCCATGAAAATTCAGGGCAACACATTCCTGATCAGTTAGAGCCATGGAGCAGAAATGATTTGTCCCAGGTCCTAGCTGAATCCACCATAGACAGGGTTATAGATCCAGGGCCAGAATGGTGAGTTCACTTGCTGCTTGCCTGCACTTCTTGCACATCGTAAAAGTAGCAGTGGTCCTGGAAGTCTAACCTTGACCTCACCAGCATTCAGGGGTTACCCAAGACACTTGTGGCTGTGAAGAGGTGTTTCTCTGTCCACGCTCATCCCTTGTGAGTCACTAAGAGACAGGAGGTAGAAGGCAAGTGTGTCACAAGCTCACTCTGAGCCTTCCCAGGAAGGCACTGCCTGGGACTGGTACCAGAACTTAACATGCTGTTTCCCTTCAGGAACATTGAGGGACTGTGAAGCATGTCATGGCCATCTATTTTCTGGGGCTTATAGGCTTCTTTATATGGTAAAGGCATCTGTAGTCAGGCAACAAGGAGCAGAGCTGGTTGTTATGGGTTGCCTGCAGCAGATCCCTCAGATGTTTCACCCTGACACTTTAATTTGCCTGATTTATTCGCAATGTGCCTGGGTTCTGCCTCCAAGCTGATTATTTCCATTCCTTGAGCGCTTGGCAGGAGTACTGGCACTCAGGCCTTTCCTCCGTTCCCTCTTCCTCTGTGGCTTGTCCACCAGTAGTTGCAGGGCTCCTTGCAGAAGGGTGCAGTGCCGCAGGCACAGGCACCATGGGGTGCTGCCTCCTACCCTCTGTCTCCTCCAAGTGCAGGGTGGAATGCTGCTGGCTGGCCATGTGTATGGAAGCAAGAGGGCAGGGCACAGAAGGGGAATGTTGCTGCCTGCCTGGGAGAGCCAAAGAACAAAGAGGAAAAGTTGAGGCTGCTTACTTGATATGGGGACGTTGTCAGGGACTCCAGCAGCTCAGAGGAGGAGAGCTGATCTTCTCCCAGTTAAAGAACAAGCCTGAGAGCATAAGGTCCTAATGTCTTCATATGCTGCTTCCATGGAGCTAGAAACAAAGCCCCTTTGGAACGGCAGAGAGGAATGGAATCTTACCTGAGATGGGCTCAGGATACCAAATGTGGTAGAATGGTAAGGTAACAGAGGAAGCTGGGAGAACTGCAGGACTTCAGCATAAGTATTCATGCCTGGCATTTGGGGTCTAGAACATAAAGATAGCATCAGCCTTGATGACAAGCTTCTGTGCAGGGACAGAGAGAGAGGCAAGATAGCACAAGGGTGTCTCTGAACACTGAATGTCATGAAACAATGGGGCTCTGTGAAACACTGCAGAGAATGACTTCAGCTGGGATGGACACAGCAGGCTTAGCAAATGCTGGACTGCCCCCGCTTGCTGCCTCTGCTTCCTGGGGTAAGGTAAAGAGCAAATGTTTTCTTCCCACTCTGGGCCACTTCACATACACAACACAATGGAGTAGTTTGGTTTGACTGGTAGATGATTTCCACAGGGAGCTCAGGGTGAAGTGTCCCCAGAGATGTAGGCACCTGGATGCCTGAGTTCTGTCTCTGGCTTTGTTGCAGACTAGAAAGATTCATTCAGTCTCGAGGTGGTGGGAACGGGAGAGAAGAAAGGTCATTTATCTCCCAAGCAGCTGCTGCAACTGGAACTGTAGCAGGCGGTGGTAATGAGTTGCTGAGGGCAGGAAAGTGGCAAAATACAGTAACTCCCACACAACTGTGGAGCAGTGGTGGTAGCCCAGAACCTGCTGGACTGCTCCAGATTCGTTCGTGGCTGGTGCAAGGTAGGCTTGGACTGGCAGGGGCATGTTTTCTGACATGCCAGGTCTCTCCACCACAGCAGGTCACTAGCATTGTTTGGCCTTACCACAGAGGACAAAGCAGAGAATGGGGAGGGAAAGTTAGGGCTTTACAAAGCAACTTGGAAGCTTGGGGCAAATTTGGTTGAGGCTAGGCATACCCAGAAGTCAGGATGCATTTGTGCTCTTGAGCGGCAGCTTGTTGTGCACAAACACACCTAGGCAATTGCTTTAGCCAAAATGCCACCTCTTGTCCAAGGGGTGAGGGTGGTGTGAAAACCCAGACATTGCTGCCTCAGTTTACACTTATTCTATGTTTTTGAAATTTTATTCTTGGCTGGCACTAGTTTTGTGCTCCTGAACCTTTCAAAGAGGGTCTGGCTCGCTGAATTCCTATGACGGGACCGAGCTGCACCTAGGTGACTTTAGTTGTCATCCAGTGTTGGTATGGGCAGTTACATCTTCCATCCAGAAGGGCCTGTATTTCAGATGTGCTTGTGTTGTGTGTATAAACAATCAGTAGTGATTTCTTGCTACTTTTTCTCTCCCAGATGTTATCCAAGCAAATCGGTTCCGTGCAGTGGATATCACCTCAAGCAGCTTCCGTCTGATGTGGCCCAAACTCCTCTCCCAGGAAACTGGCTACTACACCCTAGAGTATGCCCCAATAGATGATCCAGCAAGAAAGAGGACAAAGCAAGTGTCTGGGGCTCACACTAACCTCATGCTGAGCAACCTTGCACCAGAAACCACTTACCAGGTGGCACTCATTCCTGAATCCAACGTGCACTACATCCCTCCGCAGACAACAAGGGTTACAACGCTGGCAGGTAAAACATGTGCACAACCCTGACCAAGTGGGAGGGCACCACCATACTGAGCCTTGCAAATAGAAAGCAAGCAGGACAGCCCTTGGTCTGCATCCCACACCCTCATGACTGGAGGAGGTAGACAGATCAAAACAGATGCTTATGATCAGGACAGAATGTAGCAAGTAGATGGCATCTTTGTGCTGGCACTCCCCTGGCAAATCTTTCCTTAGAGAGGTTTTCTTGACTATGCAGAAGAGAGGATCAGATCTGATGCCCATAAGATGCCCTTCCAGTCTTAAAATTATGCATATTGGGGAAAGCAGAGCCCAGCATGCCTGAGAAGAAGGCAGAGGTTGCAGCTTGCAAGAATTTAACAGGGCTAAGATGTAAAGCCTGCTAGAGATAAAGCATAAACTGCTGCACATCCTTACTCACTGTCTTGGTATGACGGTCAAGCAGAAGCAGTGTTGCATTGTGTGGGTTACTGGCAAGGGGGAACTTTTACCTTCACAGCATGAGCAGTTGTTACGGGAACTAGGGGATCCCTCTCTTCCACCTGAGGCTGCAGGTGTGCTGTTGAAGCAGGTGCATGCTGCTTCTCCAGGCAGATGTAGCCACTGCTGCGAAATCCCTGTGTAAGAGCGGGAAGCACTAAGAGCAGGAGCAGGCCCCTCTGGGCAGACTAGTTATTTGAGCCAGAAAGATAACTCAAATTTATATTGGATGGCAACTTTTTGAAAAGTTGTACACTGAAAATCTGAGAGGGGGTGACAAAGCCAAGCTGAATTTGCACAAAGTTGCAGTGCGTCAAATAAGTTTTTTTTTTTTTGTACACAAGAACACTTCTGGCTAAGTAGTTTTGTCTGCTCTGTGCTGCACTGATGGAGAAACCATTTTCTTAGAGCTGAGCTGGGTTACACTGACATAGATGACTACAAACATCTAGGTGCTGAATAGATTTTCTTCTACCTCCTAGAAGCCAAATACAGTGCAGGTCAACTGTACTCCTCTGAGAGCATTCTGATGCCATGAGTTACATAGACTCATTCATATCTTTTTACACTGCTTGCAGAGGAAACCAGTCCAGCTCAGGTTCTCATCTCAGAGTCCAAGCCACACAGCTTCCATGTTAGCTGGGCTCCCACACCGGACAGTGTGATCGGTTATCAGATCCTGTATGGGCCGCTCCCTGGGGACTCAGTGAAGCTGCTGGAGGTGGATGGCAAGCGCAACAGCACTGTGGTGGAGAACCTGACACCCAACACAACCTATCTAGTGACAGTGACTGCCATCTACAAAACAGGAAAGGAGAAATCCCTGTCAGCTAAAGCATGCACTCAGGAAGGTGAGTGAGCAGCATTCTCTGCTGATGGGAAACAGTATGGGCACAAAGGGCCTCTGAAGTGTGTCCATCTTTTTGCACAAATTAGCTACCTCTAGGTGAAGCCAGAGAATAACTCAGTCAGCCCAGTTACTGGAGTTGGAAGAGAGAGGGTGAAAGCTGCAGCTTCTAATGAATAGCACATGATCTGCCATAAGGATGTAGCAGAGGGATAAGGCATAGGACTGGAAGAAAATCAGCCATGCACAATATGACCACTCTAACAGAGTATATGCACTGCCAAGCTGCTAGTGAAGTTGCAAGCACAGCTGGCTTGGAGGTCCCTGGATCTCCCTAAAGAAGAAAGACAACTGCTTTTCCTTCCTCTCTGCTCGGTGTCTGTGCTTTGGTGTGATTTAGCATCCAGGGAATAGAAGTTTCATCAACAGAAGTTTCTGCTCTGAAGAGGTACCTGCAAAGATATTGCAGGAGACAAAATCTAGCTCTAATCAGGACTCAGGAGTGAAGAGCTCAGAGGATGAGAGGAGCTGCTTAGGGTCTGGGAGGTAGCCAGACAGGGCGAACAAAAGTTTTTGTGTTTGTACCAGCACAAAGTTGAGGACTAATTAGGTGCAGTCTGAGCATCTCCAGTAAGGAGATATGGAGGAAGAGATGAGACTGTTGCATCTCTACAACAGAGAATGACCAGACTGGCTGGCAACCCCTTCTCAGTAGTCCCCTCAGGAGGAACAAGGAGCTAAGCAGGAGGGACCACTCCATACAAATGGCTCCCAATAACATGGGTCTTCTCCCTTCTCTAGAGGGCTCCAAGGTGAGGCACCTTCGCTTTGAGAACATGGGTCCCAACACCCTGAAAGCCTCCTGGGACTCTGCCGATGGGAAGGTCCTCGGTTACAGAGTTAGGTGCCGACGACAAACTGGCCCTTCATCTCTCATCAGCGTTTCGCCACAGATCCACAGCGTGCTCCTCACAGATCTGATTTCAGGCACCACTAACAAAGTGTGTGTGAAGCCCATGTACAAGGACCAGCCAGGCAAGGGGCTGTGCCGCATGGTGCACATGCAACCAGGTGAGCTGGGGTACAAAGGGGACTCCTGGAGCCCATGTGCCAGAGAGAGGTGCCCTGAAAGGGACAGAGCTGCTGGAGATCCAACTCAGTGGAGCCTTCATGGCTGAAATATTCCGTGCTCAGCAGCTAACTTGTCATCAGAGCTACCAATCCAAAAGGGATTGTCCAAAGCTGGATTGCTTTCCCCATTTCTAAGAGGAATGCTCCTCCTAGTGGCATTAGGTTTGCAGGCAGGAGAAAAAGTATGCATTGGAGACACAGTCTTGTAAGCACTTTGGGATAACAACGCAGGGGAGGCTCTTAAAAACTGGCCTGGGCATTGGAAGCACTGTTTAGAAGTCACTTGAAGTGTTCATTACTCTGCACTTTTCAACTTGGGAGGCACTTCTCAAGCTAAGTACTAAACGCAGATAATAAGGCACAAAGCATCTGCTTTCCTCCTTCCACTACCCAGGAGCCACTTACTGTGATGAGGCACAAAGATACTTAATAGGCTGAAGTGAGGCAAGAGCTAAAAAGAAGCTGCGTGGCAGTGTAGAAGCGCAGCCTCTTGTCCAATAAGAGGCCAGAGTGCTGGGGAAGATGAGTACAAAGGGTGGGATCTCTGACTCGGTCCCATTTGGAGAGCAGGCGGACAAAGCTGACATTGTACTTTTTGTATTCTCCTAGCTACAGAAGCCCAAGGATATAAGCGCAGACAGAGCGCATGACAGGCACTGGAGCGAACTGATCCCCCACAGAGCAAGGGGAAAGGCTTGGACAAGATGGAGGGGTCTGGGGAGGAAGCCAGAAACCTCACAGATCATCTCCCAACCTGCACAGTGCATTGAGCTGTATCGACTGTTGGTGGTTGTCAAGCCTAAAGGCTGTCCTTAGTCAGGTTCTCCTAAAGCTTAAAGGTCTGCCATGGCTGGATGGAACAAGCAACCTGACTGATAGATCCCAAATCTGTACCGTCTCTTATGTAACTATGCCTGACAAATAGCAAAGAAAAGGCAAAGTGATGAATCTGCACTGTTGTTTGCTTGCTTCCTGTTCTCTATTTATTAAATGTTGATACAACTTTATTTTTTCAGCGTAGGAACATGTTCGAGATTCAACAGTTTACTGCACTGGCCTTTTATTCTGGGCATCTGCACTCAGTGAAAGAATATACGTGCCCAAATCCATTCCTACTGTCAATTACCACCGAAATTGATGTACTTGACGAAAAGCAACTTTCCTCCCACTCACCAGTATACTCAACAGGCAGCTCAAATTAACAATCTCGGAAGTATAGTCATTTCAGGCATGGAAGGAAAAAATCATTAGGAGAAAGAAGAGTAACAAAATACAGAAATGTACAGTACCTTGATGAGATCTAGCCCAAGCTACCAGGATCTCTGAGAAGAGGAAGAAAAGAGATCATTAACCCACTTGGCATTTGCCCAGAATATGAGGGTAACATCCTGCCTCTTACAAACTGCAAGGACAGTTTTGTGTTCCCAGGTGGTCTGTGTTTTATGGCAGAGCTTGGTCTGTGCCGTCTGAGTAGGGTTACGTCAGGCCAGAGCTGATGAGCTTATAAGTTATACAGTGGCTGTCCTCTATGTTCTTGAGGCTCATCAGTACTGTTCCACTCTGTCTCTCTGGCTCTGATGCTAAATTCTTCTGATACAATGACATACAGATCCTTGCTGGACTTTGAAGGAGCCAGATCCCCCAAGTCATTTGCCCTGGGTTTTGGTGTCAGTCTGAGAGAGTGGAAGACTCAAACACACGGGAAGTTACCTCCCCAGCAGGTGGTACTATATACTCTAAAGCTCTCAGCCCTCAGCTGAGTTCAGGCAGCAGCAGTGAGCCAAGCAGCAAGACCATCTAAAACAGCTATTTGTGTTTCTCTTTTAAGTACACACCTCCAAACAACAGTGTAGTACTGCCTGGATCACAGCCACTGAACTACACTGGCATACCTGCAAACAGTTTCACCTAGTCAGGAATGAGTCCTGCTATCAGAGCAGTTCTATGGAGACTTAATTAGCCTGTTCTTTGACTAATTAGGGATCATCAGTGTCCAGCACTATCATTTCAGGCCCTGTCCTTTACCCTCTGAAGACACCTCACACATCTTTAAATAGCTGTCTTGTCCTGGGCTCCTACCCAGCCCTAAACTTGAATTACATTTGAAAATCTTGTTTTTATGGGGGAGAGTATATTTGATTCCTTCCCTTTGGCCCCAGGCTTGAATTTGCTGTCATAAAGCTACTCTTCAGAAAGGGGAGTTTGAAAAAAAAAAAAAAGGATTATTTTTCTACCTAGTGACAGAGCCATTTTAGGTGCACAGTTCCAAAATTCAGGGCTTAGGGCTGTAAGGCAATGTAGATACTTCTCTGGTAACCAAAAGCAGCATCAGTGGACATATACTCTCTCAGTAATGCTTGCTCTATTTTAAGGTTTTTGCTTATTTGTCCTACATGTGGAACACTTTTTTAAAACTATGCTGTACGTTTGGAGAGCCCCCATGCAAACCCTCCATAACTCTGCTTATGGGCCCTTTAAATCAGTTCCTTTTGGAGCTGAGAGGTACTTTGACACTGACCTTGTCTCCCCTGTGCTAAACTTGACCTATCTAGATTTATGGAGTATTTGTCTTGGGCTATCTCCCTGTACGGGAGGATGGGATGGGAAGGAGGTGAGTCACCCATTTACTATATAGGGAGATTTCATATGATTTGTATTCTCCTTTGGAATGTGCATTTGTGATTGATCAGTCTGAATGGAGACTGTGCTGAGGGAAAGATACAGCCTCTGGAATCTCTCATGATCTCAAGATCATCTTGTTCATCTTGCTGTAGGACAGAGATTATTTAATTTTGCAAAATTCCCTGCATAGTTTACTAATTCCTTAACATTCCCTCCCTTCCCTGCATTGTAATGCATCCTTTTGAAGACAGCCAATTAATTATACAACACAAGAGCTATTGAGTTGGAATGATTACTTCGTTCTTGATAGTTGTAGGGACAAATCTTTTAAGTATAACTAAGGAGAGGTATAAGTTGAAAAGCTGGTATTCATCTCAATTTTAAATGACTGAAAAATAAGTGTTCCGTCCATGACTTCATAGTCTGATTTACATGGAACTTTACCAAAAAAAAATTAGAAATACATCAGTCTTCAGCCTTACTAATATCTCAGCTTTAGTGAGAAATGAATACCATATTATAAGGAGCCAAAATAAATGTCCCTTAAATCTTGGTTGAACTGGTAGTACTCTTAAACATGAAAATATGGCCATTCTAAGATAGACAAGTAAGTTAAACTGAACTTTCTTTGAACTAAAGCCTAATGATTTCTAAAGCTATTTAGGCATCCCACCTGCACTGAATTAGTGGGTGTGACACCCACACTCCATTATAGAATGAGAGCACAAACCATCAGTGTTCCTGATAGGAGCTGGATTCTGCCTGTAGGGGGATTATAAAGAGCGTCATCTGTGGGTGAGCTATTCCCATATTTTCTATATGATCCTTGCACCCTCTGATGCATGTGGTGTGGGCTATTATTAAATATTTAATTATATTAATATTAAAGATGAAAGATAGTCTTAAATATTAATATTAAAGAATTGATTATATGGAACTGCTAGTGTGATCTGGTGTGTCAGGTTCCATTGGTTCTTTGGCAATGCAAGATTCCCCTGCTTTCCTGTATCAAGATATTGTGGGTTTTTTTGAACATCACCTTCTAGGTAGGTCCTGATCCATCAGGAACCAGACTGAAGCTATCCTACCCAGATCCTGTTACCTAGACACCTAATGGTTTTCTGCAGGGAACAGTCAGCATGTTTCTCCCAGTTCCAGAATCTCGCTAGTTTGTATTCACTTGGAACAAACTTGCTCATAGGTGCATCCAGCTTGCCTCCTTCCCCTGCATAATCCCAGATTTGCTGAGATGTCAAAGTACAAACATAACTAGGATATGCTAATCTCTCCAGGCAGTAGTGGAGGGGAGAGGTGCTATATCTGTACTTGGCTATTGTCAGCCAGAAGGGCATTTAATTTACTATAGCACATGCCTGGCACAAATAGGACTAACTTTTACAAATTCAGTAAGAAATACAAGCTGGCCTATACACTTGAAAGGTGTGAAGATTCAGGGAATGTTTTTATTGCTTCTAAGACGATGAAAAAGACTCCACCAGATATGGAAGTATGCTCACTATACAAGCTGAGTGAGGCATCTCCATTCTGGACAGTGAAATGCATACAAGAAAATAGCATACAAGAGCAATTACAGATGTTTGTTTAGTGCTTATCCTTGTCCTTTTGCATTGAGCAGTGCAGGAATCACATTTTTATTGAAATAATCAATATATTCTGTGATCAAAGATGGAAAATTGAAAATGTAAATTAGAAAACTATGGTTAAAATGGAATTAACTATTTTGTGGAAAAGGGATGCTATGTTTGGGATATTACCTTGTAACAGACACTAGCTACTTTGCCATTGTATTGGTTTTCCAATGTGTATGCATGGCACTATGGAATCACACAATAGAGCCAACACTAACCTTTAGAATCAGCAATGTATCTGCTAGATTACCAACAGTAAAAGAAAAGGAGAAAGGTTTGATGGAAAAATGAAGCAATCTGCAGACACTCTTTCAGAGACTTAGTCAAGTCAATGTTTTTGGAGGACACAAGAATGTTTAAAGGGAAAAAGATACCTGAATGACTGCTACTGGCCTGCTTATGAACACTGGAGCTTATCTAGGCTGCTTTCTACAGTTTATATCATTTCAGGCTGCATAATTTTATATGTAAGCTTTATGTATGTTTCTGACTTTTTATATGGCTAGTATAGTTAAATTTTCCTCTTGTACCTATTCATTTTTTTTTTCACATTACAAGCAATTTGATTAAGAATAGTTTTCACAAAGTGAAATACAACTCTGTATCAAGCATAAGCATATGGATTTTGTTGTTTCTTGGTCCTTAACATACAGGTAAATGAATAAATTAGTCTGCCAGTTTTATAACAAGGGGCCGCCTTCGGCAACAAAATCCAAAGGGTGTTCCAAGCCTGGATTTGGCCCACTTGGCTTATTGAGTCTGAATTTTCCCTGAAGCTTTCAGGGAAAAAAAAGTATAGTGCGTGAGCCTTTCTGCATTATGAGGTTGAAATCTCTGATGGCGTCTCCTCCCGGTACAGGTTAATGAAATCTCCTTCATAAATTTGTGGTGTTTTAAGAGTCCAGCACTTCACTAAGCACTTCCCCCAATGCAGTAATTAGCCCTCCCAAAGACACTAGTGACAGCATCATACAAGAGGCAATACTGAGTAAAAAGCCAAAATTATTTTGCTTTTCTTTAATCTGCTAACAATAGGATCTGCCTAATACAATGTAAATCAATGGACATATGACCAGTCACTAGAGACATTCTGCATTATGTCTTCAGGCAACAAAGTAAATATGAAATATATTTGTTTTAGTCAATGTAATTGATATCTACAGTGCAACTGTGGACAATGAAAAATTGTTTCTGCCATTCATAATTTCTTGTAAGTAACAGTGGAATCTATAATGTGAAAGGGGACTTCAAAATGCATGGGCACAATATAATTCTTCATAATAAAATGCTGGGGGCTCAGGATGCTAGGGCAATTTAACTCGCCTTACAAAAGACTCTTCTTACCTTTCATTAATGTCCTGAGCTGCTGGTGAGAATACAGTAGCAGAGGGCAGACTGTGAGGGCTACACAAGGAACTGAGTATTCCCCCTGCATTCATCCTGGTTAGAGTATAGGATCTGGCAGCCAGAGACCCCAGTTTGTGTGTTCTAGATCATGACTGTCTGGTTGATGCTGTTGTCTTTCTGGTGCACCTGAATCTGCCGAAGTTTGGCAAAGGCTGGGCACAAGCGTTTGCCTTTGCAGAATTTGGCCTCCACATGGACTTGGGAGACTGGGAGTGAGACCTTAGCCAGCGGCTTTTTTTAAAAGCAGGAGAAAATGAGCGGGATCGGTAATTCCTTGCACGTTCAACAGACAGAGAGCTACCTTGGTCTAAGGAAGAACTGACTCTTTCTTGAGAGCAAGCTCTCACTGGAACTTTTGCATGTAAGAGAGGCTTGACTCCAATTACATGTGGAGCTCCAAGCTTTACAGGAAATGAATTGGTATTTACCAGATACTCCAATAGCAAGTCATTTTTGTTTGTGGTTTCACTTCCCAGGAGCTGAGCCACACGACTGACCGCAGATGCAGCGAACATGGGAAGACTTAAGTTTGTTAGTGCTGGATCATCACCTAAAGATTTGACTAGATGCCTTGGCTTTAAAAACCACTCTTGACTCTGCAAGCTGCTTAGGTATGTTCCCAGGACCTGTCTCCACATAGGTTGCATTATACATTTGTAGCCATTTAGGTCTAAAAGTGCTTGAGCTGCCTGCGGTGCCAGAATCTGTGCCATCATTTTGATCCATATCAAAACTCAGACTCGAGGCTAAGCTGTCCACCTGAACTTTAAGTTTCTGCAGACTTTCTTCCAAGCCATCTATGGTAGGAGATAAGTTGGTTTCTAGGTAAGAACAAAATGTATTTATTCAGAAAATGTTTTATTAAGAAGTTCTTGCTAATACCTCTAGACTGCCCTCCATTACCAGACTGTACTGGAAAAACAGTCTAAGAGCAACATAGTTAATATTCTATACTTATGTAGCTATTTCAGTCAAAAATACACAGAATTTTGAAAGTGAGATTTCTGTAAAGTGGGAGGATTTCCTCTGCACAGTGGGAGCGTTACACCATTAGACCTACCTGACTTCAAACCATATCACAGATTTACACTGATATAACATTTGAATATGACCCATGTCTCTCCTAGGTGATAGATCAGCTATGTGAAAAAGATCTATTGTTCGTGTGGTCAACGTATCATGACCATCAACTCCATCCCACCGATTTCTTCTTTAAACAATGGTGATCCTCCCCTGTCATTGCGCAAAGTCCACCTTTTTTGTAGTTGCATGAAGCTCTGGTGCTGAGCAGTGCTGCTCATCTGGGTGTTGCTAAGAAATTCACTTGTTTTTTCACTAGGAAGAAAAGACAAAACTTTTAAGCACAGAGTGCTCTCTTAATAACGCATCACGTGTGGCCCTGAATAAAGGGGGGCGTCTACCACAGCGTACGGTAATCTCAGTCGCAGCGCCCACTGCCTCCTCAGGGCACGCCGGGCAGTTGCGGAAGGGGAGGCTGCGGACAGGGCACCCGGACAGGCCTGGCCCTGCGATGGACCTCCAGCAGTGTGCAGCTGGAGGCCGCAACCCCGCAGAGACCTGCAAGCCGGGG